GCCCCGCCGTCAAGCTCTCCAGGAAGAGCCCCGAATCATCAAGATGTATGCGCTTCCTTTACCTTGCCCAAACAGCTCAAAGTATCTCAAAGAACAAAGACAACATTGGAGTATGAGAGACTTGGTGCGTGAATACAAAGTCAGAAGAGGATATATGATTATCGGTCTGTACGACTGTATGTACCCTCTAACTAGCCCTTGTGTTTGTTGACAGTCATGAATATCGTGTGCTTCGTTATCGAATATATAAATCAAGAATAGAAAAGGAGGACAATAAACGTCCTGTGGGGAAACAAAACCCCAAGCGCCGTATGCAATGCTGAGGTAAAGGACGTAAAAGGAGGGTGGTAACTCTGGGTGAGTATGAGACAATAAGAAGAAGAGACTGTTCTCAGTGGTAGAACTCCTCGTCACGCTCTACTGCGGGCGTGAGAGGTCCTCTACTGTCTCGCACTGGCATGTCGAGTGTTGTCGACTTTATGTGAAACGAGTTTCTGTCTCCTGGAGTAGGTGTGTTGCTGCGGCTTCCGCTAAACGTCCCCGAACGCGGCCTAACCGTCGGTGTAGGCACGTCTGCAATCACATCTCTCGAGCTGACATTTCCGCCGACTTGTAGTTCATCTACATTGGGCATTGGAGGGAGTGAGGTCGGCATCGTCACTGATCTCCTCTTAGGCGTACGCGATCCAGACCTTGTTGGAGTTGCCATTATCGTATCGTCTTCGGGCACATTCCTGTTCATATCGATAGGCGTCCCTGAACGGTCGCCTCTTGTTTCCGAGAAATCGCGCGAGGTCCAGCTAGGTCGATGAAGACGGGCTCCACGAGGCAGATTTGAGTAGCTTCCACTTGTGCTTCTATAGCTCACTTCGCTGGCGGCGCGACCGCGGCGGATGGGAGTCTGAGATGACTCTCCATCCATGCCTGGCGTTTGCGACCTCATGGGCAACGCGGAGTACGATGCATTTGGTGTTGGCTCTGGCCCCATTGCTTCCTCGTGGTGGAGCATTGCCATTTCAGCAACAAAGTCCGGATCTTCATCTTCAATCTTAGCAACGCGACGAACCTGCGAGACGGAAAAGTATGGTCCTTTGGGCTCTTCGGGTGTAACCTCAACTGGTTCCGGTTTTGGTGGCCGAGGAACATCAGTAGCAGTGCGATCCAGATGCTTGAAATATTTCTCGCGAACACCTGCCATTCTCCTTGGTCGGAAGTCTTCGTGGTTTCGAGTAATTGACATGTAGGAAGAGAAGGCTCCGACAGCAATGGCTATCAGGGTGACGAGGACCAAAACTCCTTGGATAACTATGATGACAATGCCGATGATAGTTGTTGTGATACGCTCCAAGTTGAAGGCAACATTGAAGGCAGAAGACAGAGCCACGGTCGCGACTTTGCTGAAACCAAGCAGATATACCACGAGCATGTTAAGACGCTGGCCCTCGAAAGGTCTGGCCCAGATAGTGAAAGCGAAGAAGAGGATCTCAACAACCAACAGACCGAAGACTTGAGTCATAGGTTGACCTGAAGCACCGGCGTAGAAGCAGGCTCGAATGAACTCGTAGAGAGTCCACACGGCGAAGAACCACCATCGTGTACGGCGGAAACGAGCAGAGAGCCACCCAAACTTCTTGACGTACTCCTCATCGTCGTGTATCGAAGTGTGTGTCTCCTCAAGGTGCGACGGTTGTCGATGAAGTGAGATTGATGGCATCTTCATTGAGATAGAGCTCTTGATGCCAAGCTTTGCAAGAAACTTTGGTGGCTGTCTTCCTTCGACTTGCTCAGCAGAACGCTCAGATTTGCGAGTAGTACCCTGCGATGCCAGACCGGTGAAGGTGGCATAGAGAACACAGGCAGGAATTCCGACAAAGAACAAGATGAAGATGATAGCTGCAACGGCCTTGACGCCACCAGAGCTTTGGTAAGAGAATTGGAACATGGTCAAGAGCATCATCATGAAGAACGAAATGAACAGTGCTCGCAGAGCAACCAGGGCAGTGTATCGGACCCAGTGCTTCCGGAAGAAGGTCAATCGCTCATTCTTCAAGATTTTGATGGCAATGAACGCTTCGAGGGCCCACTTGAAAGCGATGACACTGGCGACAAGGATGACAAGCAGGATGAGCAACCACAGAAATCCGGTCGTGAAAGCATTGGAGACGCGAATGTTCTCCTGCGCCAGGGTACCGGCGAATCCAGAGTAATTACCGGGCAGTGGAAGACCTGCCTGTACGGGCTGCCCATACCAAGAAAACCCAGTAGTCTTGTTAGCAAGGTCGCGTCTAAATAGATGGTCTCCGAAAGTCTGTGAGACAACGTCGCGTGCGAGTTTGACAGAATGATCGCGCTGGTAAATGTCCCAAACGACGTCTTTCTTCAGCGACAAACCTCTTCTATAGATCGACGAGATGTCGAAGCCACCTCCGACATTATCTTGGTTGGTCCCAGAACCGGCAGCACCAACCTGTGAAGTATTGCCAATGTTGTTACCAATGAGTTTGTCGATTGAACGTTGCATTGAGCTGGAGTAGATCATGCCTCCTGACCAAGCAAAGTTGCTCCACCAAGCAACGAGCACGCTGGGCCAGTTCATAGAAAGTGCTCCAGTGAAGTAGACATGTTGGAAAACTGAGAAGACGACCAAAACCGAGAGCGAGTGGGCGTAGTGCTTGCGCATAACAGGCACGCTATCACCATAGATGGCAGTCGCGAATGAAGCGAGCAAAGCAATGAGGGTGAAGACTCCAAGAACCGATCCCACAGATTTGGGTTGAGAAAAGGTTGCTCCATTCGTGACTACAGCCGAGTAGCAGCCAATCTCAGACTGGGTCGAGTTTGCAAAAATACGAAGAACGGCCTCGCCCTCAAAGTCCGGGATCGAGAGGGCGATCGGAGGGATAGCAGCAACATCAGATTGAGCAACCGGGATGATGCCGTTAGCCTCGATGGGGATACTTGCATTGAGCGGGCACAAGCTATACTGGTTAACGACAGACGGTTTGCAAGCGATTTGTAAAACGTACCTGGCAATATTTGCGCTGCATGGATCAAAGGTCAAATCAAAACGACCTTCTCCGTATGCATAGACACCGATGTACACTNNGACCACGATTAGCTGGGTTCATATATAGGGTTTAAAGGGTCATAACTCACTCATCAGACTTTCATTAGCAATGGCCGTATTACCCGCCAAATGAAAGAGCACGGTCATGTTGTCTTTGTAATAAGCAGCATCGAAGCGAGTAACATTTACAGCACTGGAGCCCTTGCAATCTCCGAATCGTCCGGTATACAGAGACGGTCTTCTGTCGTCTGTGTTTGGTAAGTGGCTAACCCTCAGAGAATTGTACATCTGTTACTGACCTGGCAAGTAGACGACCTGACCAGCAGAATTTGTGGTTGTGACATAGCGCGTGTCACTGGCAGCTACGACCGACTGTATCGCGGCAAGAAGCGTGATAGCCAGAGCCAAAAGTCGCGAAGCGACCATAACGAAAGTTGTGAAAGTCGAGACAGTCGGGAGTGTGGAGGATCGGCTTCAGATAAGGGTCTCGGGCAGCGATCAAAGGGTCGTATGATCAGCCGTAGCAAGTGAGTAAGACGGAAGGCAATGAAAATGGTCGGGCGTCAAGACAGCAGCAGTGTCGTGTCGGACGGCGTAGCTATAGTCTTGGGAGCAAAGGTGGCTGGTGAAGATAAAGGCGTGTTCGAATACGGGGAGGCTGTGGGTAGCTCGGCGAAGGCTCAAGACATTTCCTGGATGCTTCTGGAGACCCGAGCAGTGACGGACGGAACGAGAGGAGGCAGGAAGCGGACGGAAGAGTAGTTGTATCTAAGCAAGACGACCAAGATGATGATGAAGCCAAGTAGCTTGGTCAGAGACAAAGCAGGACGCAAAAGAGTGTGATATGTCGAGGAATGTTCAGCCGCTAAAGCCGGAGCTTGTCAAAATGGCTGCCGTTTCCTCGTAGCGCCCGCCTTGGTCCCTATATGTCGTTCACGGATCTCCGAATATACCGTGCGTGATGATCTGCTGCTGGCGAGATGCAGCGAGATGCACTCTTCCTTGGGCTGACGCGTGTCCTTGAGGTTTTGCTTGCCGCTGAGCTATTGTGTTATTGTTCTTGCTTGGAGACCACTCTGCACAGCAGCTCGAGGAAGCCGCAAACCTAAAACCCGCCGTATGCCAATCATTCTGTGTTATCAGGTTGGCAACTGCCGCTTGCCAACCTTGGCGGGAAGTCAATGACACGACATGATCTGCCTCTTCGACATGATCTCCCTCTCTGAGCTGGTCGAATGGGGGCCCCTCAGCCACCCCGCTCGATGGGGCTGACAGCTCTACTGCTGTCGTCATGACGTTGACGGGCAACTGCGATTCAGGTTTGGAGGTAGCTCAACTCTTGCTTGCTTTCTGTTTCCTCTACTTGACCACACGACCAAAAGTAAACAACTCTTCATACCTGTTCACCCAAGTTATACCTCAGACAACCAACTCATCCACCCATCATGCCTCACCACGACAAGGAAGAGAACACCCNNACGGCAGTACGTCTTGCTACCTCATACGTTTCCACTTCCGCGTTGACCTTCTGTTCAGACCTCACCGACATGGTTGCAAAGGAGTCCTCTGACTCGAACGCATCTTCCCACCCCATGCACGATGTCGAGACTGGCGCCACCAGCGGCGGCAAGGCCACTGCCCAAGACCACAGCGCCAACNCCCGTAAGTCATCACGCTTGCTCGCCTTGCTTTGAGCACGACTGACTGACCCACAACAGGGCCCTGTCATGGCCGAGGGTCTCGGCGAGCCTGCCAGCAAGGACGACCTCAAGAAGAGAGCCGCCGAGCTGAACAAGTAACCGACGCAATCACGACGATACGAGTACACCCATACCATAGCATGATTGAGAGATGAATCAAATTCCACTTCAAAATTATAGTCTTCAAGATCGTCAGGGTGCATGTGAATGGTACATGACCAATGTACATGTGTCTAGGGCGGAACCTCGTCGCCCTTCCAGTCCCAGCACTTGCCTCTGTCCTCCAGAGTCCTGCCTACAACAACCTCGTACAGCTTCTCAGCCGAGAATTCAGGACTGAACAGCTTTCCTTCCTTGACACCGCCCCAGAATTCCTTGCTGAAGCTTGTCTTGACAGTGCCTGGGTGCAGGCTGATAGCTATAGCCTTCTCGCCTGAGGCGGTCCGTAGATGGTTGTCAAAGGTCTTTGTGACCTGGTTGACAGCAGCCTTGGAGGCACGATACGAGTACCATCCACCAAGCTGATTGTCAGTGATACTGCCCACACGAGCTGACATGGTAGCCCAAACTGCCGTCTTGGGCAAAGACGCATCTTGGGAAAGCTGTGTCGACTTCCGCGGCAAGAAAGGACCAAAGTGTTTAAGCATCAACATGGGACCCAGCGTGTTGGTCCGGAAGGTCAAAAGGGCATCATCATGATCAATCTGCTGGGGAGACTTTTCAGGAAATAAGATGCCGGGAATAGCGTAGGACAGATGCAAGTAGTTGTCCTTCTTTGGAAACAGGTCACTGCAAGCGGATGCTGCATCTTGGATTGTGTTTTCGTCNTGTCAAGTTTGCATTTAGCGTCAAGAAGCACAAACGGCTGCCGAAAAAGCAAAGGGCATACCAAGGACATCCAACTTCAAGACATTGAGTCGGCTTTGGTCGACGTGATGCAGGCCATCGAGGATTGATTCCTTGGCCTGATCCAAGTCTTTTCGTGCGGTGGTCACGATGGGCAGCTTCGTATTCTGGAGCAAATGGCGAGCGAGATGGAGACCAATGCCGCGGGAAGCGGGGCTAACCAAGGCCCAAGGCTGCATGATAGCGAAGAGGTTGGAGAAAAGTAACAAGCCAATCCAGCACCGGAGGCCGGCGGGAGATTCACATTTGAAGTGCCTTGGATCTTGGAGAGGCCGTTGACTTTGACAAGATCTGGGATGGTGCAGAGGTCAATCATCGGTGACGACGATCGATTGAGCTTTGCCGCCAAGACAAGATTTTGTGTAAAGTCGAAACAGTAATTCAATCATCATTCCATACACATACACAATCATACTACACACAATGGCGACATCAACATTACCCTCGGCGCTCTCATTTCCGCCTGCGACCTTCGCCAAACTATCACCTGCTCCATACCTTCTCGCCCACCTCGACCCGACATCCTCGTCCGCCTCGCCGACACGCCCCAGTGGCCGTTCTCCGCAACAATGCCGGTCGCCCTCCATCAACACCGGCTCCCTCACACACGCCAATGGTAGCGCCGTCGTCAGACTGGNNGGAGACAGCGCTGTGGTCTGCGGTGTACGCGCCGAAGTCCTCCGCACATCAGACATCCCCCATCAATACCGCGGCCCCGAAGACAGCAGACGCGAGATTGAAGAGCTGGGTCTCTTGGTCCCCAATATCGAGCTCAGCACCGGCTGCTCCCCAGGGTTCCTTCCTGGAAACGCTCCCGGCACTCTGGCGCAGTCGCTGACACAAAGACTGCTTTCGTTGCTGCATTTGTCCAAGCTGGTTGATGTTGAGGACTTGAAGGTCAAATACCAGCCGCCAGAGACTGAAGACGATCTGCCGGATGCGCCGCCGCAACTGCAGACAAAAGCATACTGGGTCTTGTACATCGATCTGCTGGTCATCAGTCTGGACGGCAACCCCTTCGATGCCGCTTGGGGTGCTGTCTTGGCCGCTCTGTCCGATACAAAACTGCCCAAGGCATGGTGGGACGCCGATCGCGAAGCCGTACTCTGCTCCGACCAGCTCTCCGATGCCAAAAGCCTCAGTCTCGGCACCATCCCCGCATCCCTGACCTTCGCCGTCTTCACCACCGCCGCACCCCAAAAGAAGCCCGAGGATGCAAAGAATTGGGTTCTGGCCGACCCGGATGGCTTCGAGGAAGAACTCTGCAATGAGAGCATTACGATCGTGACTACAGAAAAGTCCATCCTGAGGATTGAGAAGAGGGGTGGTGGATTTGTGGGCAGAGAGGCTATGAGAGAGTTGGTTGCTCACACCCAGAGCAGACTGGGAGACTGGAAGCAAGCCTTGAGATGAGGTTTACAGGTGCTCGCGCAAGAGAACGAACACAATACAGCGCTACTCAGCTCAAGCCTTGCGGTTCAATCTACTACCTCCGAGTCGCAAAGTCAATGCATGCCAAGCAACGGCATCCTATGGATAATTTCTGTGGCCAACCATTACTTCCCAGGGAACCTCCAACAAAGGCGTCGAGCCACTACCGAGTCACAGGCGAAAATCTTCCCTGTGTGGGCCCAGGGAAGGAGTCATGGCGAGTGAAAGAAAGAGATAGTCAAGTCATCAAGTTGTCATTCCGAAAGGTCTAGGTATCATAGCAACGCAGAAAAGAGCAACAATCAGTGCGAGCAGTCTGCCCGACACTCGACTTTTTCTTGAATGAGACAAACGCCAATTCCATGCATTTCATTTCATATCCCCATCTTCTCCCTTTTTACAGAGCGGCCATACCAGCCAGCACACCCATGGCACCGAGAGCGAAGCCAGCAAAAGTGGCCTGGGCAGCGGCACCAGTGGAGGTCTTGGAGCCAGTGGCAGCAGAAGCGCTGCCGGAAGTGGAACCCGAAGCTGCAGCACTGGTAGTGGCATCCGAAGACGACTGGTTGGCGTTGCCGGCGTTGGTCAGGGCTTGGACAGTGACACCAGTGCTGTTCTGGCAGTGCGAGCTGTAGTCGGCAGAAGACAGAGGGGTCGAGGTGAATGTGATGTCGGCGCACTGCGAGCATTGTTCAGCAAAGTCATTATACAATTGATCGTGTGCAGGAGAACTCACGTTGTAGAGACCACCATTGGGGTCACCGTTGGTAACAACCTGGATAGTAGCATTCATGCCAGCGGTAATGTTCAAGCCAGCAGGGAACTGCAGAGCGCCAGCACCGATACAGAAGTTCTGGGGTCCCTTCTCCTGGATAGTAGGCAGAAGAGTAATGTTGAAGTTGCTGCCAGGGTCGTTTCCAAGAGCCATGAGCACCTGGACTTTGGCAGAGGTGTGGCCCATCAGGAGTTGGATGGGAGCACCGCTGATGGGGAACTCGGTGCGGTTCGAGCTGACCGTGTTTTGACCACCGCAAGGGAACTGGGGCAGGTTGTCCTCATCGAAACCGCGAGCGGCAGGGTAGATGAGCTGGAAGTGGGCCGAGACAAGAGGCAGAAGAGCGCCGAGAAGCAATTGGACCTTCATGTTGAGCTGCGGTATCTGGGATGTGTGTGATGTGATGTGTACAAGCTGATGAGACGCGCAAAGACGAAGGCAACACAAAGAAAGAAAGAAAGTGATTTGAAGGTGCAAGTGAGTGTTTGTTTGGTTGGTGGGACGTTGCAGCAAAAACAGGTCACACAAGCCCAAGTTTATATTGTAGCTCCGCACCTTTCTACCTGGCGGTTATTGCTAAACGAAAAGGCTCAGATAGCCCCATACCCCTTTGCCGTGGAACCCGAAACGCATTCCACTCGCGAGATACCTTCGTGGGCGGGCGAAGCGTGGGTTTGAGCAAGTTAAATCGGTCTAGCCTTCTGTGGCTTCGTGGATTTGGGATGCACGGATGGAACCCAACGGCATGCTTACGGTTAGCACCACCCTGATCTTACATATCACAATATATCCATATGGTGTGGCCTACAAGAAACAAACTCAAGTCCGTAGTTCATATGTAGACTATTGATGTTTGCAGTAAGATGTACGAGGCCTCGTTTTGTCAATATAGAATCCTCCCGAGGCTTCCACGTGCAGTGCAGACGGCATGCGTCTCGCCATTTCGACGGATGTTTGTACACATGCAATCATTCGAAATCTATCACGATGCACATTACACACATGATTGAGACGAACTTTTCGCTGATTTTGATCATATACACATGACTAAAGTAGTATGAACGAGTGTATAGAACTTTTGGTCGGTCATCATCGTAAGAGTAGAAGACGTCGCTAGTGATGATCCTCCACAGGCGAGGCGTATCTACCAATAGCCAGTTCACCAACGAAGAGCCCTGCAAGGACGGAGAGGAAGTATCCGACGTTCAAGGTCATGACTGCCAACATNGCTGTAAAGTGTCAGTTCTGCGATTAAAGTGAAAGATTGCAGCAAACTCACAGCAGGTAACCAAGTCCAGCCTGTAGAGTGTAGACGCAAGCTCTCGGGAGATCAGTACTGATTCTCCAAGGAGCGGATTCGACGCTTCTTGACTTTGCTGTAATGACGCGGACCTTCTCGTCGAGGCCGCGAGATGTCAAGATGGCTTGCTGTTCTGACTTCTCCTTGGCGGCTTCTGACTCTTCAGGGAACTGTTCCCCCTCCTGCTCGCCTCTGACGACAATATAGCGACGCTTCATGGCCTTGTCGTGGAACTTCTGTTCGAGAGTATGTCTCCAGGCTTGAAGTAATCGGGAGAGTATGGCCAGAACAATGAGGAAGATACATGTGCCAGCGTATGCGCCTGTGGAGGTGGGAGTCCACGCCTTTGAGTAGAGAGGAGTGTTGTGAACAGTGGTGAATACCATGGACATGGAGCCCATCCCCGACATGGAAGACATATCAGACATTCCTGTAGAGGCAGCAGCTGAGGCTGTGCTTGACATTGCCATGTCCATGGTGGACGACGACATGTGTGACATATCCATGATGACAAGTGAGAGTTTTGTTTGATCGTAGGTGTAGGATCAGTCGCACAACGAGAGAGGGTTTCGGCGGATGTGTGGACTTATACAGCAATGCTCGTAGATGAAAGAAGATCGAGGCTAGTGAGCAGCTGGCTGCATGAACGCAGTTCTCAGATGATGCAGCACAGTCAAGATGGGACGCGAGCAATTGGCAAGTAGAAATGGGTATTGGCGGTCAGTACGAGACGTTGGGCGTGGGAAGTGAACGGAAACATTCAATGTTCGCAAACATGTCGGGCTATGTGGGCAGGTGCGTGTTCCACGTTGACGACGGTCTGGAGGGGTGAGTTTGTTTGGCGAGAGCAACAATGAGCAAGTTTAGAGCGGAAAGGGCAAGCCCTAGACCACAAGCGGGTAGCGCATTCGGAGTTCAAACAGCCCCTCCCGCGATCTGCCACGCTGCCGAGACAAGTCGACATAATCAACTCCACCACCTTGAGTTCATTTGCGCTGCTATCCTGTCCGACATGGCTTGATCCCGTCCCTACCATGTGCTGTACTCGTTGCCGCATCTTCCGTCCCAAGAACACACGACGACATCTGCAGTAATCCTGTTCCTGGAATCCGACCTGGGACCGACCACTTCGAACGCCGCATCTGCCTCGCAGGTTGCTAAACACTCTCTCCTTCGCCTCAATTCGACCCTCAACTGACTCAACCACCTGGAAATGGATATGTCTATGGGTGGTATGGACATGTCCATGGGCAATATGTCCATGGGCAATGGCATTCCTAGTCTGTTCACCTTTGAGAGAATGTACTGGGCTGTCGTGGGCGCTGCCATTGCTGCCTTCACTCTCGTCAACCTATACAGCTGGTTTCTGTGTCGTCAAAGGTAGTCGAAACTGTTGCCCATCTTCTTCGTCTGACCATACTCACATTCGGCTAGGTTACGATCAACAAGCATGACTCCTGCCAAACCCAAGGCCTTCCCCTTCCTCGCCATGGCTACATGCACCGCCCTCGTTCGCGAACTTGCCAATGCTTCGTTGCCAGTCTTTGCTGTCAAATCCCTCCGCATACCTTCGCCAACCCTCGGAAGAGCCTCCCTGGTAGCCGCAAACATAGTCGTCCTTCTGGTCATGTGTTTCTACAAGCTCGATGTCAGCGACCAATGGTCCTTTGAGAATATCGGCTACCGCACTGGGTTTGTCACTCTTTGTCAATTGCCCCTTCTCTTTCTCTTGGCTGGAAAGCGCAACATCATCGGCGCCCTGATCGGCTCTTCGTACGAGCGCATCAATTGGCTCCATCGCTGGGCATCGCGATGCTTCCTGCTGACTGCCACAATCCATATGGGCTACTGGTTCGCTGATTGGGCTCCTTATGACTATATCGGCACAAAGATTAGGACTGACCCTATCACGAAACATGGTGTTATCGCTTGGTCTATCCTGGTCTGGATTACTATCAGCTCCATGACTCCGATCCGTGGCTGGAGCTATGAGTTTTTCGTTGTACAACACATCATTTCTTTTGCCGTCTTCATTGGCTTCGTCTACTTGCATATCCCTGCCGAGGTTAAACATTGGGTCTGGATCTGTGTTGGCCTGTTCTTCTTCGATCGCTTCGTGCGAGCCTTCTTCTATCTCTACAACAACTTGTCCATCTTGCACCCTGCTCAAAGAAAGGATGGCACAATGGGCAAGCTTTGGGCCTTGAACGCTGAGCTCACTGCTCTGCCAAACAACACTACCCGCGTCACTATCAACAACCCTCCCATCTCCTGGCGTCCTGGTCAACACGTCTTTCTATCTGCGCACTCGCTAGCCCCCATGCAGGCACATCCTTTTACCATCTCGTCTCTTCCTAGCGACGGTAAGATGGAGTTCTTGGTTCAATCTAAAAAGGGTGGAACGCAAAGATTCTATCGACACGCAGAGAAGATCGGAATGAGTCTTCCTCAAACTAATGGGGATCTGACCAGAGGATCGTCGACGAGTATCGCTATTGAGGGCCCCTATGGTCGCATTCGTCCTCTGCAGCAATTTGATAGTGTCGTGTTGCTCGCTGGCAGCTCTGGTGCGGCATACACCATGCCGTTGTTGCGTGATCTTGTCCATTCGTGGAAGTCTACGGACGGCCAGAGCAAGAGCAAACGCGAGAAGCCGGTTACTAGACATGTGAGATATGTCTGGATCGTCAAGTCTGGACCTCAACTCAGCTGGTTCTCTGCCCAACTCAGCCAGGTTATGGAAGATGTCGCTCGCCTCCAGGGCCAGGGCCACGACGTCAGTGTCGACATCAGCGCCTACATTACGTGTGACGAAACATTCACGACTGAACAGAAGACTTTGCTCGACGCCTGGAAGGCATACTCGACTTCGACCACCACGAAATACGGTTCCGTGACTGAAGTCCTGAACTCTGTCGATGATGAAGAGTACAACGACTACAGCATGGAAAAGAAGTTCACTTCCAAGAACGAGAAGATCGAAGTCCAAGAGCTCGACCGCTACTCTCTATCAGACAAGGCTGAACCTACATCAAAGCAATCCTGCGGGCCTAACGGCACGTGTTGTTGTACTGCCACTATCGAAGACGAAGACGACGAGGAAGCCATCAGACCTGCGTGTACCTGCAATTGTGGAGCGGGTCCATCACGAACAGACAGTTCAAGGTCAAGCATGTTAAACGAGAAGCCCAAGCCCAAGCAACCGTTCTTGCATCCTGCAATTTCGGTTTTCTCCGGGCGACCAGCCTGCAGGAATGTCATTCGCAAGACGCTTGAGCAAGCTTATGGCGAAAGCGCAGTGGTCGTCTGTGGCCCACAAGGCTTAGTCGACGACGTGCGGACAAGCGTCGTTTCACTCAGCGATGAGAGGGCGGTTCACAAGGGCACAGGTGCTCAAGGCATCTGGCTCCATGCCGAGGCTTTTGGATACTGATTCTCTCGTAAGCAAACCAGCATTAGTTCATTTCAATATAGCAACGCCGTTACGACCCTTTCCTATAAGACAATTTCTTATGCCTATGCTTTGACCAACCAGAGTGCGCAATCGTTGTATGAAGGACGCGTTCGCGTATAAAGTTCTGTAACCTCAAACCACCATGTACTGTCATCTCTCGCAAAACTTGGTAATAACGTGATCGAGTTACCGAACTGTATGCCAGCCGTCTCCCCAGTTTCCAGATCGCTGGAGAACGATCTGCATCTTAGGCCGAGATCCGGGCGTTCAGAGCGTGGGTTGTGCATGGCTTTTCAATGGGCGTGCATAACCGAAAATACCTTGAACCAACCACAGCAGCTGCCTTTTGAGCATGACGACTTCTCCATCTGTACATGTCCTATTCATTTGGCTCTTTGGAAGATTCTCTACTCTTGCAAAATGGCCTAGAATCACTGTAGCTTCTGTCAATACTTGTCTCGGTGTTCCTAGAAGAGCCGCCTCGGTAATTCTAGCAAGGAATCGCCTCACCCGAAGAGGGAAATGCCCCGCTTTGGAAGTTGAATTCTCGGCAAGCGCATTAGCTGCCGTGGACTATCAGATTCGTCCTGGCGAATCCTTCGGTCATTTCTGCGAGACGACGTATTTGCCGTGCTTTGGCTGGCTGGGCGACTGGGGATCCACAGATACATCTTGCGCGTACTTTCCGTAGACAGAGCTGAAGGCTGTCGTACACGCCTAGCGATTCATGGTATGGGCGGGTTGAGTTGCCGTTTGCTCTCTCTAGTCTGGAGTCCACCACAGACATGCGGCTTTGCAACGGTCAGAGATCCAAGAGTGCGCCTTCTTGAAAGCATTGTTCATTCTCTGTACAATCCGAAAGAGCACGTCTAGCTTCCCGTGAGAGATGTCACGATTCTACGTTGAGTCCCGAGCTAACGATAGCGGCAGCGCCGATAGACTTTGGTCCTTGCACCATCACCGTGCTCTTGCAGCACGCGGCATGGCGGAGCCTGGCTATTTCGTCTTTTCGAGCGCAAGTGCAAGCGGGACCCTAGTAGCTGCCAGGATGCTCCAAGTACAAGAAAAGTTTGCCTGCCCACCGAGTGCGTGGTTGGTATCCTTTCATCTTCGATCCTCCTTCTCTCGGGTTGTACCTGGCTGTTGAACGACGATCTATTCTTTCAGGACTGCCTATCGGAGATACATAAGACCTGTCGCTGCAACATTGACATCTGCGGGGTCTATAAGAGGTCACCTGCACCTGCCTATCCTATCCGCCTTCCCCGAGCGTTCCTGAACTCCGAAAAAGACTTTGTTGATAGTCCGACCGTCTTCGTCCTTGGTCATCTCAAACCCCGTCTCTTGAAAATCAGACATGGTCTACTCACTTGGTTATCGACGTCCGAGTCGGGTCTCTGATGGGTCATCGTTCACATCCGCGAATGAGAAAAGGTTGTCTGGCGATGGATCATATCACTCTGGAACTTCTGGCTCGATCAAAGGCATCCCGGAAGCATTGTCCTTCGACCGAATCATAGCTGGCGGTACTTGCCCTGTATGTATAATCAAATCTCGTGGATGTCAAGTATTCACAACTGATTCAAAACTCTACACAGNNCCATGCACCACACGTGATTTTATGAACTATCTGAAGTACATCGAACACAGTGCTGAGAATCTGCAATTCTACCTTTGGTACCGCGATTACGTTGAGCGTTTCGACAAGTTGCCAGCCTCTGAGAAGGCACTGTCTCCAGAATGGAGTGCCGCTCAGATGGATACAGAGATCACTCAGCCAGCTCGTCGCCGCAAGAAGACTCCTACAGCGATAGCTACTGTGCTTGAGGGGACCGATTTTGCCGACACGGTGCCTCTTGCTGCCGAGAGACAAGATGTCTCCAATGATCCTCGCAGCGAGTCACCAGAAGCCATGAGGACTCCTGCATCGCCGACCTTTTCTGACTTTGACTCTTCCATGAGTATGGAAAGACCTGTGTCTGGCCGATCAGATTACTACCGCAGGGCTGCCGAAGCATTGACAGATGCTGGTATGCAGTGGAAGCCTNTGTAAGTAAAAGGGCCCTGTTCCGTGGGGACACTTTGCTGACGCTACACTAAAGTCACCGCACAACCTTTCCGTGAGGAGATGACACGCATAATCACACTTTTCATTGCAGTCGATGGATCTCGTCAACTCAACTTGTCTGATCGTGAACGAAGTGCTGTTCTTCACGCCCTCCAAAACACCACACATCCTTCTGCTCTACGCGCGGCATTCCTGAGTGCCGAATTTTCTCTTCGCCGTCAAGCCCATCCCAACTTTATCCGCTGGACAATCTGCAACGGCAATCGCCCTCGTGTCATCTTTGCTCGTGGCCTGGGTATCTCACTAATCCTCCTTGGCATCCTCGCAGACATCCTCATCACACTGAGCTCTGCCAGCCGTGCATGGCGTATACTACCCATCATTGGCTTGATACTAGGAGTCTCGACACTAATCGCTGCATGGAAGGGAATGTGCGTAGTCCTCCACGGCATGCACCACCGCCATCTCCGCCCCTGGGAACTCTTCGCCGACCCCGAAGACTCGTCAGAGAAATACAGCTCCCAAGACTCTCTAGTCCACCCACCTATGTCTGGCAGCTATGAAGACGAGCCTTGGGTCGCCAAATACGCGAAGCGCAATATTGTTCGCAAAATCTTGGATCGAGAAGTTTGGATCCAGGAGCCTGCGTTAAGACAGATTCAGGACACCATCTTCATACAGAGCTTGTTGGGAGCGGTTTTGGTTTCTGGTGTTGTGGTAGGGATCTTTTGTGCTGTGCCGCGTGGTGGATTCTTCTAGAGGCGTTTCTGCTCTGAAGTCGCATCTGGTTGGCATAACAGGGAGGTATATTAATGTGTTCATGGTCAAGAAACGTCCTGTATAATGATGAAGATTGGGGTTTTTGGGGTGTATATAGATTGGAGTCCGGAAAGTGTCTTGTGTACTAATCATCAAAGGCGTATATACATGGTGTGCTGTAGAAGATTTCGGCCATATTGCAATCATATCCGAAACCCCTTTTTCAAAGCAAATGGGGTAAATTCCCTCGAGTTTAGTTGCAAAACCGTCCTCTTTAGCTACAGGCCGACCATAGAAAAACCAGATATATATGTTTCAAAGCCATACAGGAAAACAAGCTCGAGCAAAAGAGAGAAAAAAAGAAGAAGAAAAAGGCCCTGCCTTCCAAATCATACAGCCCCAAGTCACATCAAGAGGGGGATATTTCGAGAGGTCATCTTATCAAATCTAGCTTGTCTGATAGTCGGGGTACTGGCGAGAGGTAATATGTCTGGTAATGTCGCACAGAGTCTCGTTTGGGCGAAAACAAAAAGTGACTGCACCCTTCACCGCTTGATATAAGAAAAACAAACGAAACGCAACGCAAACAAACACTGTATCTTTCATCATCTCCAGACTTTGGGCTCTAAGTTTTTTTTCCTTTTCATCTCAGGGGTGACATCCCGAGTAGGAGAAACAAAAAAGGAATAGAGACTGACCCAGGCAAGATGGTTGTCGCTCAGAGTTTTCTGACATGGGGAGATTCACCCATTTACGGTCCGATCATTGGGATGGTGAAGTGGATTGCGAACGACGGATAGGCTGCAAGGCCGGCACAGATGTGTTGATATCAGGGGACACCAGTAAGCACGCTATACGAAAAAGGGTCAAATTTTGATGTATGTGAAATATACAAGTCGCTTGGAAAGGACGAGAGAGCGTTGGGTATCTTTTTCTTTCGAGTCGGGACAAAAAGGCAAACATGAGAGCATCAAGCGAGATTATTGCTGAGGGCAGCCGTCGGCTTCACTGAGCATATCCTGGGCTGCGTTCATGTCGCCAACCAAGCCCGGCGGAGGGGCTCCTGCTGCTTGCATCTGNCATCGAATGTCAGCACACACAAAACAAGAAAGAGAGGTGATGGGATCACATACCTGCTGCATCTTATCCACGATATACTCTCTATCCTCTTTATTATCGTCACTAAAGTCTTTCTTTTCGAATCGCTCAACGATATCCTTGACGACAGATTGCTGTGTCTTGTAGCGCTCCAAATCTTGTTTGGACGTCGAGTCCTTGTTCTTCTCCAACCAATCGGGAAAGTTGTCGTGTAGCTCTTTCATGGGCTCGTAGAGAATGTCTTTGTTGACTAGCTGTTCCATCATGCCCATGAGCATGGAGTTGAAGTCACCTTGATCGCCGTCCATGGCGGGGAAGTTGCCGGATTCGAGGTCTTTGAGCATTTGGGCTAGCATGTCGTCTTGGGAGGAGCTTGCGGCGGCGGCAGAGGCGGATTGGCCAGAGGCTTGCATGCGTTCCATGGTCTTTTCTATGGTTGAAGCAAAGGCGGGCTTTGTGGTGGACGAAGATGGAGGAGGTGATGGTGCGGTGTTTGGCTTGGAGGCAGCGTCTGCTGGAGGGGCAGGCGTGTCGGCGGCTTCTTGTTCGGCGGCGGCACTGAGTTCCTTCATCATTTCTTGGAATTGTTTCTGCATCTCTGGGTCGTCTCCGAGACCTCCCAGCAGCTCGGCCATGCCGGCCTGTAGTTGACGGGCAAATTCGTCATCCTCGGGAGGCGCTTGTGGAGCTGCAAAAGAGGAGGACGGGTTTGATTGAGCGGCAGTTGAGGAAGGAGCGGTGGCAGAGGAAGGGGCAGTCGGTTTCGTGTCTTTGATGGCAGTGGCCGAGAAGTCGTCTAGCATATCATCAAGGTCGGAGAGATCGTCCTCGTCTGGGTCTGGTGCCATCTCGACGTGTTTTTCTGGTTGTTGATCTGCCATGGTTTCACTTGATTATGCAGAATAGTGATGAAACAGAAGGAGCAAGTGTTGGAGCAAGCTCGAAATGTTTACTCTGTCGAGTCACTGAGCCGCGAGGGCCGAGGCTCACTCGGACCTGCCACCTTCACAAGGAAAGCCGTTCCGTCACCGCGACCGCGACCGATTGTGGGGGTTGTTTGCTCGGTTTGCTTGGCCTGACGATCATCAGATTAGACAAGGGCGGCGCGACTCTTGTCAAGCAGAAACACATCTCTGGTCGCTCACATTCACAACAACACTTGACTGCCTTGTCGCGCAGCTGCCTGGCACACCACGCTACTTCCGCCCCTACCTTCGCACCGACGTCTTCTCACCGACAAGACACAAGACCACTTTGCCAGTCCGACACACGACTCCATCCACCATGTCGCTCTGTTCCAACCGTCTCTCAGAAGAGAGAAAGCAGTGGCGCAAAGACCACCCCTTCGGCTTCGTCGCAAAGCCCGCAAAGAACTCTCAGGGTGGCCTCGATCTTCAAAAGTGGGAGTGCTCCATCCCCGGCAAGGAGAAGACCATGTGGGAGGGCGGCCTCTTCAAGCTCGAGGTCCAGTTCCCCGACGAGTACCCAACCAAGCCCCCAAGTGNNTATGTACTCATCATCTCGACAACTGTTGCTACATCTAACACGTCCTCAGGCAAGTTTGTGCCTCCTCTTTTCCACCCCAACGTCTACCCCTCGGGCACCGTCTGCTTGTCCATTCTCAACGAAGAGGAAGGCTGGAAGCCCGCCATCACCATCAAGGAGATTCTCCTCGGCATTCAGTCTCTGCTGAATGAGCCCAACCCCGAGTCACCTGCCCAGGCCGAAGCTTACAACCTGTTCCGCAAGGACCGCGCTGCCTACGACAAGAAGATCAAGCAGGTCGTCAGAGACAACCCAGCTCCTTGAGAGCCTTTCTTATCTCGCGACACAAACACATGACGATTACGAATTACGGCATGCATCTCGGGCTCCGACACACTCAAAAGCATGCCACAAGCGACGAGTTAAAAGGAAATCACTGCTTGGCCGACATTGCGAATGGAAACACGGCAGTGTTGATAAGCTAATTTATTCATATACACTGGGGACTGGGGCGGCCTGGCATTTCACTCCTACGACGACGAAGCCACCAGTTTACCAAGCACCTCTGCCACTTGGTCTGGCTGTTCCACCATGGGCAGATGACCCGCTCCCTCAATCTCGACGCACTCTGCGCCATCGCTGCCATATCTGGCAGCCATCTCNTTCATAGTCTTTGGCAGCACTCCGTCTCCGCTGCCAACTACAAATACACCCTTTACTTTTCCACCCTTCATGTGCGGCTGGAAGTTGTAGTCGCACAGTGCCTCCACACTCTTTCTGAATCCTTCCAGACTGTTGTTGACAACCATCTTCTTGACTCTCTCGCACTCCTTCTCCATGTCACCTCCATCGTAGCTCTCCTTGACGAACCATCTTCTTACTGTGACTTCGGCGAGTTCGTCTCCGACAATCTTCTCGCCTTCTTCCCCNGAGGCATTTTCCTTCTCGCACATGGCCACTCGCTCACCCCATGCCTTTCTGTTGACCTCGGGGTTCTTGTCGTTGGTGTCGCATGCCATGAACGAGGCGATCCTGTCTGGGTATGACAGGGCAGCGTTGAGCACGGATGCGCCGCCCATGCTGACGCCCACTATTGCTGCTGCCTGGGGCACCTTGAGCTCATCGAGCAGAGCAATGATGTCGGAAGCCAAAACGTCCATTGTGACGAGCTTGTCGCCGGCTTTGCTCGTGCGGCCTCTGGTGTTGTATCTCAGAATACGGTATTGGCTGTTCTTTGCCAAGAACGAGTCCACCATACGATCCCAGATGCCATAGGATGTGAGAATCGAATTGCTGAGTACAATCAGTGGTGCATTGGGATTTGTCGAGCCTTCAAGTCTGTATTGGAGTTCTGCCCCATCGCTGGTCGTAATGTAGGATTCCACTGCACCGCCGTCATTGCCAGTAGAAAAGGTTCTGGTTTGCGTGGCTGGACTATCCCATTTCTTGAAGCCTGCAAGGGCGAAGTTCTGGAGGTCGCGCGGGGCGGCGCCAAAAGTGTAGAAGAGCTCGTACTCGCGTCTTAGTTTTTGGGCCACCACGTTGGTCATGATGTCCTTTGCCCATGGTGTGTTGTTTGTGGCTTGCCATTCCTTGCCGCCGAGACCGTTGGTTGGTGTGTACTCGTGCAAAGCCAGATATTCCACTTCGTCCTTTTTGTCGATTGCGGCGGTCACGTAGCGTCTTGTTCGCAGCCAACCTGGCACTTTGGACAGCATGTCGATGTGCTCTTCATTGTACCATTTGTCCAGCTCTTGACCTTTGCGACCGGGCTTCAATCTCAGACTCACGGATACCATGACATTGCCTTGTCCATAGTGTTCGATCTTCTCCAGTTTCTTGAAGTCGTCTGCTTGTCTGCTGCTCACGAGGTCGAAACTCCTTCTGTCGATATCGACGCTGGGTCTAATGTCTCGTTCACGTTGGGTCTGAATTGGAGCGCCACGGAGAGCGAGGTACGCTTCTGAATTGAAGGCGTCCATGTCGTCGGTATCGTAGATGGCCATCCATTCGTGCTTGCCTTTTCCTTGCTCGTCAATGTCGCGGGCACGGTAGCGGAAGCCGTTGTGGATGAAAGGGAGGCGCAAGCGATTGGGTCCGTGTTCGTTATTATACCAGTCGTGAAAGTCGGCTGCTGGGAGGGTGGCCGAGGGTTGCATGGTTACATACAGGATTCCCGGTGTCTTTGCCATGATGTTGCGTTTTTCCTTTTTTGCTGCCTGTTTTAAACCAGATCTTTTGACTTTAGAGAAGAGAATGGAGCTTGAGATCAGGAAAGAAGTGGGTTGGTAGAGGCTTGTAGGGAGAAAATGTTCTTGATTTGATATCATTCACACTCCCGTGTCGGGTAGCCGACCACGGCGACAGCTCTCGACATCCCGAATGACGATGCCGTTGCTCCCCGAAAACAAAACATCTGAGCTGGGGGTGAGGGGTAGTGGGGTCGTTCTTTTGGCACACGGCAGAAGCTGCGGCAGAAGAGATGCTTGTTCCAAACGCATTCTATTCGACTGCAGGGTGGATGGGTTCACAACTGGTTGATACTCCTTTCTGAACTCGTGTACGTACTTTAAGGGGTATATGTGCATACGTAAACCTGTATCGGATTGGAAAAAGTGCTTGGTGTATGACTGTCTATTTGATGATTCTGTTGCGGGTTTTCTAGTCATACCAAATAGCATTCATGCCAAAGCCAGGCTCTTTGACATCACAATGAGCAACACGGCCGAGGAACTCCTCGTTCCATCGGTAGATCTCGATGAAGCCCTTTTCGTCGTCGGTCAGAGCTAGCCATTCATCGTTCCAAGGACAAGGGCTGACGGCATTGGAGTGTCCGCCACTTGTAGGTGTAGGGTTAAGACAGATCTGGCGCTCAATGTCACCAGACTCGGACAGCTTGAAGGCTGCAATATAGCCAGTCAAGTCTGGAGAGTTTGATCTAGACGTCGCGAACAGATATTTGCCGCTGGATGAGAGGAAAACAACGTCCGAGCGGTACATCTTGGGGTAGATTTCCTGATGGCCTNNGTTCTCTGTGTTAATGGTCCATGATCTTTGCGTCTCACATAGATGTCACTTACCTGGAGGAACAAGAGGATAGATCTTGTTGGTATAGACAGGCATATGAGTCTCCTCGTCTATCGAGTACACTCCAAGTCTGTTACCGCCTTCCATCAAGGCATAAAGATACTTTCCACTCGGTGCCATCTCGACCCAGCGAGGGTGATCGCCTGCTGCAGGAGCATCAACACTGCCGACAGTAGTCATGTGTCCAGTCTCTGGGTCCTTTTTGTGGCACCAGACCCTGTTTGCCCACATATCCGCAGAGTAGAGGTAAGTTTCCGTAGGGTCAAAGACCATGCCATGGATGGCTGTTTGCGGGCAGTAGTCGTAGTTCTGTGTATTCTCTTTGAGACTTCCGTTCTCGTTCACCGAGAAGACGTTTCCTGAGCCAGCATGGTCGTAAAAGGGGTTGCCATACACGTTATACGGTGGCTTCTTGCCTGCCAGAACAAAAATCGCACGAGTTTTGGTATCTGCCTGAGAAGCCTTGGGGTCGTGTTCCATGGGGAATGAAGCGGTGTGTTCGATCTCTGTTGGACTCTTGACGGAAAAACTGTTCCACTTCTTCATGGCAGCTCCGTAGATGGTCTTTCTTGCATGNCTGTCATTGGTATATTGGGTCAGCATTGTGACCGTACATTATTGTCAATATTCCTGACGCACGTCGAAGGTCATCCACGAGATGGGCTCATCTTTGGGAATTTCAGTTCTTTTGATCAATTTCAGGGTCAGAGCCTCGTCGTCGAATTGAAAGGTGAAAATGGCACCCGGGGGTGTCCAGGTGCCTACCATCAGATGGTGGAGCATTTTGTGTTGTTTTGATGTGGAGAAGCCACGCTTTGCAGAACCTGATACCTGGGTCAATGGACTCACGACTTTGCCTTGTAATCTCTGGAACATGGGAGACGAAAGGTTTCTACAAGATTAACCACAAGATTGGAATTGTTGCTTTGGCGAGAACGGAGTCTCGGGAGACGACCGCGGCAAACGACCGGGGAGTGTGGGGTCCTCTCACGGCTCCGAACACGGCAGGTCCATGGAGGCTGCCGATTGAGCTGGAGCTCGAGTGTGCTCATGAAGCCTCGAAACGATGTTAGGGATGCAGAGAAGCTGTAAACAAGGAGCCAAAATTGCAATGGCTCCGATTAGTCGTAGCTTGGTCTAAAGAGAAACGCTATTCTAAATAACAGCCTCCGCTTGAGTCACTTTTTAGCCTCGAGTCCTCGGTCTACCTCCGTACAGATGACCCCACTTGTCAAGCAGCTCAATTGTATAAAGCTGAGGGGCTTTTCTCCAAGAACAAGCCTTTACACTTACTATCTCTCACCTCGATCCTCACCACCCTTCACACGAAGTTTCAAATCAACCTCACGAGCCAACATGCGCATCCCATACGCACCTACCGAACCGGCAACCGATGCATCAGAGACGACCAAAGCAGTCTATGGTCGCATCACGGAACGCAGAAAGCCACGTCCTCTGCTGCCCTTGGACCTGGCACTGCTGCACAACACAGCCATCGCCGACGGTTGGAACAGTCTGCTCGGAGCCGTGCGGTCAAAGACATCACTCAATCCTGGCCTCATGGAGATGGCTGTTTGCCGCATCGCAGTACTCAACAAGGCAACATTCGAATGGAACTCGCACGCTCCTCTAGCGCTCAAGGGAGGACTGCCACGGGCTTCGCTGGATCTCGTCCGCACTGCGGCAATCTTTCCTCCAGGTGGCAGAGAAAAGACAAAAGAAGAGCAAGAGACATTCAGCGACGAGGAGTGGGCAGTCTTGTGCTATGCCGATCAGGTCACCAAGAACGTCGAGGTCGACGAAGAGGTGTTTGATGGGCTGAGAAAGTTCTTGGACAACACGGGAGTTATGGAGATGACGGCAACGGTGGCGACATACAACATGGTCAGCAGATTCCTTGTGGCCATGAACGTGGCAGAAAAGAACGGGCACGAGATTGTGATGCCCGAGCAGTGAGCGATTGCTTTGAGAGCAATGTAAATAGAGCACAAAAGATTATGTCAATGCACAAAACAGAGCCAGAGACTCAGGGGTCGGAAGACTTCGGAGATCGGCTTGATCTAGTTGTCTCGTTCGTTAGCGTCATGCAAGTCCAGGGTCCTCTATTTTTTCGACGGGGCGGCAGCACATTGAACAAGACACAATGCGATGAACGCGACGTCTGAATGGGCACGTCTGTTCAGGACTGCGGCGAGTCGAACGCCGTGGCTCCCGCGACCAGCCTCACACCGAACCTGGACCTCCCCTATCCGGCCTACTGAGGTCCTCAAGCAGCGCGCATATGCCACGAAGGCCACTCCGCTGAAGGGAACCAAGTCTCGGAGACGCCTGTATATCGTCAGTGGTGTCGTTGTCGCCGCTGCCGGTGCTGTTGCTGTCAGCGACGACGCCCGCTACATCTGGATCGCTGCTCAGCGTACTGGAAGAGTCGTCGGCACTCTCGCTGTCAACATCAACGACTACCGCCGCACTCTCAACCAATACGATGCCCTGCCCGAGCCCGACTACCAGGCTCTCCTCAAGGACTGCCACAAGCGCTGCGCCGAACGCACTTTGGTCGTCTTACAAAAGAATGGCTCCATATTCGTCAAGTTGGGACAACATCTTAGTAGCATGAACTACCTCCTGCCTTCCGAGTGGTGTGATACTTTCATTCCATTGCAGGATCAATGTCCCGTGTCTTCGATGGAGAGCGTCGAGGCCATGGTACTCAAGGACACCGGAAAAAACCTGTCACACTACTTTTCCGAGTTCGAGACCAATCCAATTGGCGCAGCCTCGCTGGCTCAAGTTCACCGCGCCACCCTACGCGAAACTGGCGAACGTGTCGCTGTCAAGGTCCAGCATCCTGCACTCGATGAGTGGGCCACTCTCGACCTGGCCCTTACCCGATTCACTTTTCGCACCCTAAAACGTTTCTTCCNNCCCGAATACGACCTGACTTGGCTGAGTGACGAGATGGACCAGAGTCTGCCGAAGGAGCTGGACTTCGCACTGGAAGGCTCCAACGCTGAGCTTGCTCGCAAATACTTCGCCGAAGTTGCATACCTACCTGTAATCATCCCCAGAGTTCACTGGGCCCAGCGCCGCATTCTCGTCATGGACTATGTAACTGGTCGTAGACCCGATGATCTAGCCTATCTTGACGCCAACAATATCGACCGCGATGAAGTCTCAGCTGCCCTTGCCCGTATCTTCAACGAGATGATCTTCGGGAAGGATGCCCCCTTGCATTGCGATCCGCACGGCGGCAACATCGCTATCCGCCTGAACACTTCCAAACGTGCCCCTAACAACTTTGACGTTGTTCTTTACGATCACGGTCTATACCGTGTGCCTGACAACTCTCTTCGTCGTAGCTACGCCAAGCTATGGCTTGCTGTTCTGGATGCTGATGAGCCACGCATGCGCCGGTATGCAAAAGAGGTGGCCGGTATCAATGATGAACAGTTCCCTCTGTTCGCTTCCGCAATTACTGGCCGCGATTACCGCGTCGTCACAAAGAGCGTTGCAACTTCTAGAACGGACGAGGAAAAAGAGGCCATCTCAGACGCGCTAGGAGACGGTATGCTTGAGCAACTCGTTCAGCTCCTTGGCCAAGTGCCTCGTGTCATTCTTCTCATTCTCAAGACCAATGATCTCACGCGCAGTCTTGACGAAAACCTGCACACTCGCCAAGGACCCGTCCGCACCTTCATGATTTTAGCACGCTACGCCGCTCGTGCAGTGTACGAAGAGAAAATGGAGCTCTTGGCTGCTGCTGGATTTGGTCCTAGAAGGCTCTGGCGCAGGTTCGCTGCATGGGCCGATTTTGCCCGCATCGAATTCAAGCTCTCTGCATTCGAGACATGGCTCAACATCAAGAGATTCCTGGGCATGCAGCCCACGATCATCTCGTAAAGATTGTATGGCATTTGTAATATCCTGAGCGACGGCGTATTTGTTTTTTCTGCTTGTGATTGGGAGTTTGTCATTACGGAGTTTTTATAGATAGACGTTGGCCCAGATCTTGGGCTTGTAAGTAGCCAACAGCACTTCATTCATGTTCTTACTCTTGGAAAGTTCTCTCCGACAGGTGCATTACTCTTCGAAGACCTTCAGGAGGACCTAAATGGAAAGCAATTGGTCTGGAGGGTCAAAGCTGAGGCAGACTTGTAACTTCCAAGCCTCCAGCACTGTTTCAGATCATGGTCAAGCAAGCAGCGCCGAAGCACACTCATCACAACAATATGGTCTGGACGACATCAAGGCTCCATTTCAAGATGACCACAATGCAGTTCTGAGCCAGCTAAGAACAATTGTTCACCTATATGTCTGGATGCACATGCCACTGTTTTTATACTGGACCTCGCGTAAGGGGTGGTCTGGGGTACTTCGTTTCAGCCCGAACCGCGGTCCGCCAGAAACAGGTTCAGGTTCAAGCAAGGATTGTCAACCAACCCCTGGTTGCTTGTCCTTGGCTTTCTGTACCTCAAGTTGCGACCAACACGTTTCAGAGTCGCGGCGGCTAGCAGACACAAGACATACACACATACCAAATGCTCAGAAGTCGTAGATGAGTAGGCGCCTTATGAACGCAGAGCATAAAAGGCCGGGTGATGAGACAGCTACCATGCTTGGCCCTGAACGATAGATTGATGCCATATCTTGAAGGACTGGTACTGACACAAATTCTTAACTTGCGAGAGTTCTCGACTCGGTAAGACAAGAAAGTCGAAACACTTGGCCGTGGAGGCCAAGACGATAAATTGCAAGAGTGAAAGAGATTGATACATTGTACGACCCCAGCACCGTCCGGTTTAACAAAGGTGAGGACGTGTAAAGGCCGGCCTCTATGTGCCCAGAGATATATTTGTTCCGCTGAGACTTGACTTCGGATTCAGTTCAGGTTGATACAGGCAGTGTATGCGGAGAGAATCTCGACTCGACCAATGATGACCTTACAAGTAGGAATCGCCAACGTGCCGAGCCGTCGCAGATGTCAGTCGCGCTCTGAATAGCGGTAATGCAAACAGTAGGGGTAACCCGATTGCTTGCTTCCTCATCAGTCATGCATGTCATTGAGTTTCACGGGTTTTTGATACACCCACTCGCGCTGTTGAGTGAGAACGCTCCGTGCGCGCCTACCACCAAGACCTGGCTCTACCCCTTGGTTATGAGCCTCTGTCCTAAACGATAGGTGGAGTCCCTATTGGCGTAAGCGAAGTGGGTGTGTGTGTTTACAGTGTTTGGAACCAAGGACGCGAAGGATATGGAAACAGAGCCGCTCATCTGTATGAACATACAAAAGTACTGTTTCGCCCTCTTCTAAGAGAATCGGCTTCCTCTCCTTACCCATTGTCGACGCTTCCTTCCTTTTTTGTTTTGTGCCCTTTCCATTCTCAATCTTCGCACAGCTTCATTGTTGCGTTGACTTCGACTGCTTTGGTTCAGTCATTCACACTCTTTCTTTTCACTCACTTCTGATAATTTCTCTCGACGCTTGAAAGAGCTCACAATTAACCCTCCACTCGTTACTGTTCTACTTCTGACTAAAATGCACCATCTCTCTGCTCTTCTTCTGGTAGCCATCCTGGCCACGGTTGCGCTGGCCGCACCGACCGCCCAACAGGCCTCTTCCAACACTCTCTCGAAGCGTTCTTTCATCGTCCCCAGAATCCGCAAGGCTGGATACATTCGCAAACCCTCCGAGGCCATGGGCCGCGCCTACCGCAAGTACGGCTGGTCGATGACCACTCCAGATGGCTCTCCTTGGGCTGCCGACTTCAATGCTGGTTTCGACG